AATCAGATTATGGAAATCGTACAGGATCAGATGGCTTTTGGGGTGCGTCCCGTCATTAGGCCAACTTACACAAAGCCATATCCTGATTGGGTAGACCAAGCATATCCATGGCCTAGAGGGTATAAAGTGTCAGAATTCTCACTATTTACTGGTTTAGGAGAGGTGTCTAATCTAGAACACATAGGGCGATTCACATTGCAAAGTGGTGATGTAACCGATTACCATAAAATGAAGCTATTCCCTAGTTCATTAACAGGAGTAGCTTCCTCCTGGTTCATCAACTTGCCAGCGAACTCTGTTCAAACATGGCAACAATTGGAACAGCTATTTCACGCTCAGTTTTATAAAACTGAGTCTGAAGTCACTTCGGCTGATTTGGCGAATCTACGTCAAATGCCAAACGAATGGGCAGAAAGTTTTCTCCAAAGGCTCAAGACAGCAAGAAGCAAGTGTTTTGTACCTCTGCCTGAAAAAGAATTTGTCAAAATCGCTCAGGGCTGCTTGAGCTTTGATTTAAAAAAGAAATTTCAGGACAAGGAAAGTCGCTGTATATACGAAAGTCGCTGTATACCCTCATCGCTCCATCAATGCCTGATCTTTTGGAATAACAAAGGTGAAGCAAAGATGGTACAAGCCGATCATAGGCCTTTTGTCGCAAAAGCAAACTCGGTGGAAAAGATCATGTACGAAGGAAACTATGGACATGTCAGGGTAGTACAAGATGGGGAAGAAACTCAAATTATCGTGCAAAGCGAAGAGCCATTTTCAGTGGACGCACTCACTGAAATGTTCATACAGATGATGCCAAATATAGTGGCACTGGAAGAGCCAGTAATTGGCAAAAGAATAATCAAGGAGTCTTGAATGGATTCTAAGTTATAAAAGCAAATGGCCGATATTCAGGCCTTCAAAATCAGACTAATGGCTTTCAATAAGGAATGCAATGGCAAGGCGAAAGAAGAGACAACCCTGAAAGCGCTGAAGGACAAATTAACAGTATTTGAGTTAGAACAAAGCATTGGTCGAGAAGTCAACAAGGTGGACTGTTTAGAAGAAGAAGTACTTACAAAGGAACTGGACGACGAAGTAATGCGGATCATCAAACCTGGATACGCTCAAACATAAGACCCTCTGATCAAAGTAAATATTGGCAATGAAGGAGAAGATCGTCCAACATTCATCAACCAGATGCTTGATCAAGAGTTTAGTGATAAATTAATTGCTTTGTTAAAGGAGTATAAAGATTGTTTTGCTTGGGAATATGAACAAATGCCTAGTTTAGATAGAGACTTGGTGGAACATAGGTTACCAACTAAGCCTAATTTTAAACCTCATAGGCAGCCTCCTAGACGTTTTGCTCCTAATGTGCTCCCTGAGACTAAGAAAGAGATAGAGCGATTATTGAGAGCAGGTTTTATTAGAACAGCCAGATATGTCGAATGGTTGTCCAATATCGTGTCAGTACTAAAAAAGAATGGTAAACTAAGGG